TCACACCAGCCCATTGACAGACCCATTGGTTGGGGTGGTGGCAGACACTATTGGCCCCAAAGCTCTGATTACACCATGGAGTCTGGCACTTGCAGCCCGCTTCCCCACCCATGATGAAGAGCTGTAAAACAGAACGGGACTGTAGAAAGCATTATAGGATGTCTTGCTGTATAAGATTTAAAAATAAATAAGAAAAAGGCAGGCAATGCACTGGCGAAAAATGAACAGGCAACATTGTTAATACCAAATTATGAGCAACCAAGAAATCCCAAAAGCATTCCTATTTCTTCAGCACTGGGAGTAACACTGAAGGCAGTGGAAATGCACCTGCTCAACTTATTAGGAATCTGCCTTTGAGACTTAATTGAATGAGACACACGAGTTGGTGTCTTTACTCTCATTTAAAAAGAGCCGGGGAAAGGAGAGACTGAGGCTAACACTTTCCCTTGTTCCGCTTCCTGGACAGAAATCACACACACAGAAATCCTATTTCCCTGCCTGGGCATTTCCCTATTCTTTGCTGGGTAGGGCAGAGGACAAATTTCTGTCCAGGAAACAGCACTGGGGAAGAGGCCAATGCTCCATTCCAAAACCCTTCTCCTCCTGCAGCTGCTCTGAAATTAAAGATGTTGAGAGATCACGGTTTTCTTGTGCCTTGTATACAGGGCCAGCCCGAGGTTTTTTTGCGCACTAGGCGAGGCTAGCTTGTGGCGCCCCCCTCCTCTCAATGCAGATCTATATTTCTCCAAGCTAGCAGCCAAGGAAGGAGAAGAACGAAAGACCTATGCCCTCGGAGACTTCATCCCGACGCTCTCGGTGCTACGGAGACACTGGCAGGCCGTTTGTTTCAGAGGTCTCTAAGGAAACCCACACACTGATAGAGGTATACTGCCTCCCAACATGGAGGCTCCATTTCATTCTCATCATTATTACCTGCCAAACTCTGCTCCGGGATTTCCTTGTTCGTTTGTTTCTAAACTCCCCTAAGCTACAGGCCCCACGGAGCAGTTGCCTGTGGGAGCCCTGGTTTCTCTGGGACCCAGGGCCAATCTAGTGCATCAAAAGAGAGGAGGAGGAGGAGGAAATAGTCCCACTCTCTCCAGCCCTTTCCCGGAGGAGCAGGCCCTGCCCCCCCCCCCGCGTCCCACAGGCCCACAAGAAATCCCAGCCGGGAGGGAAGCGCCAGGGCCCACTGGGCTCGGGTGGGTGTTGCCTCCCCCTCCCCCTCTTCCCTGCGCATTCACTGCGCCCAGAGAGCGGCAGCTGAGCTACCTTTCCTTTGGCGAGCGTCTCCTCCCGTCCCGTTAGGGCTGTGTGGCACCAGCGCCCTCCGGTTGAAAGCAAAGCGGCTCTTCTCTTGCACTGCTGCCCCGCTCCGGAGGCGACAAAGGTGCCCAGGTGAGCGGGATTTGCTGGTTGAGCCCAGAGGCAAAAGAGCGAGGAGAAAAGAGAGATCCTTGAAAAGTGTTCACGGCTCCCACATGGCTCTTTTGTGGCGGCCCAGGCTATTGTGTGATGTTGTGTGATGCCCAACTTATTGTCATGGCTTCGTTATTAATCGTTCTCTCTGCTGGGTTTAATTGAGTGGCCTGGGACTTTAGCCTGAGGGGCGGGGCGGGGGGGGGGAGGGCCTGTTTGTGGCATCCAAAAGCCAGTCCTGGGGGCTGGTGACTTGAAAAGTGTTCACGGCTCCCACATGGCTCTTTTGTGGCGGCCCAGGCTATTGTGTGATGCTGTGTGATGCCTAACTTATTGTCATGGCGCACTGAGCAGGAGGAAGGAGACAGGAAGGGGTGTGCTGTGGAGCAGGGGCTCCCAGAAAGCTATGCTGGGGGCGGCCGGCGGCAGCAGCAGATGCCTCGCTGCACCCCTCGGAGATCTGCGCCCTAGGCCGTCACCCTTGTTGGCCTAGTGAAAGAGCCAGCCCTGCTTGTTTAGTTTCCAAATGAGCAGGAAGGTTACAAATGAACAGGAAATGAACAAAGGAACTGGATCAGGAAGAATCAAATGGGTTCTCACAAGCCATAACCTTGTCTGGATTCTGCTGCTCTACTCTGAGATCTGTTTGAGACTGCAGAATCACAGCAGCAGAAAAACATGAAGCAGAAGTTCAGCAAAAGATAGCTGAGGCTTAGTCCAATGCAAGGGTGGCGAAACTGTGGCTCGGGAGCCGCATGCGTCTCTTTCACACATATTGTGCAGCTACCGGCAGGGCGGCTGGGGAAGCGAAATATCATTAGCAAACAAATATTATTGGACAAATAAATATCATTATCAATATCTGCTTTTACCGCTTTTGTTATTTTGGCAGTCTCATTTAATGCTAATAAAAAGCAAATTTGCATATTTACCAGTAAAAACGTGTGGGTTATATTTGTTCATGTCTTGTGCCTCTCAAACATCTGACATTTATTCTATGTGGCTCTTACGTCAAGCAAGTTTGGCCACCCCTGGTCCAATGGACGTTAATGGGTCTTAGGTTATAGCAGAAGTCCTATGGTATGAATGTGTTGCTAATGGGGGATCAAATAATTTAAATGTTCCCCCTATATCTGAAAACTTCTTGCATCCACAAAATCAGGATTACTAGGGTAAAGTTCCAGGCAATTTTTTCCCCTAACATGCTAAGTATGTGTGTGTAGGGACAATTTTATATGAAGAAACACTTAGTTATTTGATGAAACAATACCGTTCTGCAACAGATACTTTACATGGACTTCTGCTCATGTTTCAGCACTGTGTATGACTAAGGGCACAAACTCACATAAGTCTCCTTCAGTCTGTAAATGGTAAATTACACATGTATGCAGCCACAATTCAGACTGGGTCTGCAAAAGAAGGAAAGGATTTCAAAGAGAAAAACACATGTCTTTTTTATCCTTTAAAAAGCAAATGACAGCACAGAAGCCCAATTTCACTTAGCAAAGCCAAACAGGCATGGAACAATTAAATCTTCTTTCTCATCCCCAAAGTGCACCTGTACATACAAACAACCTACTGTCTTTTACACACTGACAGAGATCCATAACAGTTATCACATGTTTATAACCCTCGGTTTGAATTTTATTGGTTGCAGATGAGTAATAAAAAGATACACTGGGTTCTACCATGGCCAGCTAAATGTCTCTGGAAAGCTCAGAAGTAGGAAATAAAGACAAGAATCTCCCCTTGTTTGGTATTCAGAGATAAAATCACTCTGAACAGGGAGGTTCCATTTAGCTACCATGATAGTACATTTCTTCTCAGCACTTTGCAAGAAGTTACCAATAAATGCCTCAGCAAGTATTTATAATACAAACTATAGTAAGCCACCATTTCATAAGAAATTGCAAGAAATTTTACAAAACTGTTTGAACTACAGACCAAGCACCTAAACCAATGAGCTGGCTATTCTCCTGGGCCTATCTTAAAGGTGGGCTGAAGGTTGCAAGGTTGTGCAGGCAAGGATTTAAATTTGGTATGTCCCAAGTCCCCATACTACCACCTATGCCTTCCAATTTACTCCATCCTTAATGGCCCATGAAAACAAAAGCAGGCTGATCTCCCTATGCCTACCACCTCAGCTACCTGCATCAAGGTAAACATTTAAATCAGGGAGACGACTGTATCCCTAGTCAGTGCTTTTTGGTTCTTTAAATGTAGTATCTATATATCTAATAGCCAAGTTGCCCCCTCTGTGCAGATATCTAAATCCGCACATCGGGGGCACTTGGGGGGCAGAGAGATTTTCCTGCACACTTGGAGCAGCCCCCAGGTGTGCAGAAAAATCTGAAAAGTTTAAAAAACTATACGGGGGACACTTAATTACCCCCAAAAGTAAAAAAGCATTCCCTGTGCAAGCGCAGAGAACGCACTTACCTCTGGGAACTGTGGCAGAGCTGTTGGTGCTGGCGGTGGCGGTGGCAGGGGGGAGCCTTGGTGGGCTGGCGGCGGCGGGGGAAAGCCTGGCAGGCCTGGGAGTTCGGAGCCATGCAGGGCTCGCCGGTGTTACTGTTGTGGGTGGTGTGTGGGGGGGGAAGAGCCTGGCGGGCCTGGCGGCTTGGAGCCGTGCAGGGCTCGCCAGTGTTGCTGTTGTGGGCCACGGTGGCGGGGAGAAGCCTTGGCAGCTCGGAGGGAAGGAAGGAGGGAGGCGATCTGATGTGGAAAGGGAGCCTCAACCCGCACCAACGCGATCCCGTCGTCCGCAGAACTGGGGTTTGGAGCCGCTGCTGAGGCCCGATTCTGCTTGCACCTGCCCACAAGCATTAGTCATGCCCTTTCAGCCATTTCTCCGGGCACCATCCAGCCACAGTGAAACACTTCAAAGTCCCACAGAAGTCAACAGGAAAGAATTAAACTCGTGCCTTAACTTTTTCTACAGGGCTTCGTTTTAAACGCCATGGAAATATCAACATTTTAATTACAAATCCCTAGATTGAGCGCTCTCTGCCCTGAGCAGAAACTTCCTAAGGCTGCAGTCCTTTGCAAATTAGCGGGGGAAAGCCTTGGCAGCTTGGGAGCCGCGGGAAATACTCCCCCCCACGAGTATCGTGGGTCCTGTTTCTTGTAAAACCCTAATCCACAAACCTCAAAAAAGCCACTATATGTCAATAAAGGAACACACAGAATTGCAAAAAACAAACAAACAAACAAACAAGTTAAAAACCAGAAGAGGTAAAATGCCACGTGAGCACTCAGTTGTAACCCCTTTTAGTGCAAAAGATGCAGATAGTGGCAGTTGTTTTGGTCACTCAGTTCAGGAGCACTATTTTATATCTGACTCAGAATGAAATGTAGACCATCTGAGTCAAATTTCCATTGTCAGAACAGAGATGGCAAGTGTACATGCGCTGCTAGGAACATGTTCCACAAAGCCAGTCCTATACCTGTATCAGACAGAAGACTCTCATGTGGATTAAATATTAAAACAACCAGGTTACGCTCTGCATCACTATCTTTAATCATATATCAAAAGCAATGATTTGAGAATTTAGCAAAGATGACTTCACAAAATATGGCAGGATATTTTCATTACTGATTTTGTGCAACATATAAATACACTTTGAATATAATACACTGTGTGCAATAGATAATACACTTTGTACTGTACAAGGTTGTTAAGAGTTTAGACACTAAATCATCAGGACAAAGAGCAAAACAACCAGGTTTCTAGAATCAGTGACCTTCTGCTAATGCAAAACCAAGCAGAGACCTCCAGACTGAAACTGTCCCTTTCCTCAGACTTGTTTCTCCAACCTGTGGATCTCTCCCAGGGGAAACAGCTGGCAGATTTTACTGCTGCCATAGCAACCGTGTCGTCAGTCCGTTGGCTTGGCAACATTGCAGCAGTACAAGATGCTGTTCAGAAAGTTCCCAATATAAACAGGAGAGCCTTTTTATATTGAGCTGTAATGCTTTCACTGCACTTTTATAAATTTAGCAATAAAAAATCCTATGCAATCTTTATTTGCCAATTTGATCATATCTTCGTATCTGAAACCTTCCAATGAATTAAAATCCATTCCCTGCAGAATTGCATCAGACGGATCAAACCTCTGCAGCTGTTTCAGCTGCTCAGGTGACAACCCAGCTCCCATCATGCCTTCTCCTCCAACATGGGGCTCCTTTGAAAGAAGGAAAACAAAACAAATTATTTAAATTGCTCTCCAGTTCATTCTTATTTAACTGAGAATTCAAGCTTTTATTCATATTCCTAAGAGCCAGGACCTTATCTGCTGTTATGGGCACCTCTTTGGAATACCTTTTTACTGTAGAAACCAAGCTCCTTAGGTTTGCCTTGGTGCATCCTTCTATTCAGAAAGAATTTCTTTTAGAAAGGCTCAGACTGTGGGGATAAACCCACTGACAGCGCATGGAGACATTCACAAAGGATATATGTCTCCCAAGTGCAGCAGCATGAAGAAAACTGACACCAAGAAAACACTTCAGTACTTCTTTATGTACAACAAACACAAACGATTCACATTCAGTTTATGCTATAGGGTGGCCATACTGCTCCGGCAAAGCACAGATAAGAACATAAGAGACGCCAATGTTGGATCAGGCCAAAGGCCCATCCAGTCCAACACTCTGTGTCTCACAGTGGCCAGAAATACCAGGTGCCATCAGGAGGTCCACCAATGGGGCCAGGACATTAGAAGCCCTCCCACTGTTGACCCCCCCCCCCAAGCACCAAGAAGACAGAGCATCACTTGCCCCAGAGTCCCTATCTATACTTTGTGGCTAATAGCCACTGATGGACCTCTGCTGAAAGATGGACCTCAGATGAAAGATTGAACCTGGGTGCTTTGCTGGTGCAAGGCTGCTGAAGGCCAGGAGACAATTACTCCACTTTGCTACTTCAAAAGTATCAGCAGATAAGTCCCCGTAATAGCTGGCAAAGTACTGAGGCTAAGAATCACGTTCAGTATTCAAGGGGAAACAAGGCAAAATAACTATTTACTCACCACTTCACATTCTAATCTCTAATGAATCCTGGATGGCAGCCCAGAACAGAATGCCACTCAATGCTGCACACACAGACACACACACACACCAATAAAAGATGGAAACCATGGAACATGTGTTCCTCTTTCTGATAATTGGGATTTGGCAAGTAAGGATTCTGTCTCTAGGCAGGGAGGAAAAGTCTGTACTTTCTCTGTGCCTCATTTGAGATCAACAGCAGATTTTCTGCCTGCCTTGTAAGAGGAAGAATCAAATAGGAAGACTGGGCAAAGGAGGGATGAAAAAATATTTTAAACATATTATATTCTTAGGCATTCTTGATTGAAACTGCTGAAAGTCAGCAACATGCTTTGAGACACTACCTCAGCACATGCAGGTTAGCGCTGCTACATTCCAACATCAAATTCCAGGAGACCAACATCTGCCCTTTTTACAACTCTGCAGTAAAGAATTGTGTCTACCATGGCCCTGGCCCTGCATTTTCCACCTGGATTGTGGTCACTGGGCAATATGTAAAAAGAGTTCCTTCTTCCACCTTAAGGAAGATGTTTCAGACAATACTAGTAAGCACTAGCAAAAGTTAAGAGTGAAAAATGATTCACTTTCAAAACATTCCTTTCTGCTTCCAGCAGGAACTTGCATGTATTCAATACACCTACGTAGCAGACGTGCATAATTTGTCAGTCTTGCAAAATAGGTTTTCAAGATTTGACATTCAAGTACACATGAAGCTGACCGATGCTGAGTCCAAGCACTGGTCTATCAGGGTCAGTACTGTCTACTTTGATTAGCAATGGCTCTCCAGGATCTCCTACAGAGGTCTTTCATATTTACAACCTTATAACACAAGATGCCAAGGACTGACCTGGAATCTTTTGCACACCAAGCAGATGTCTGTTCCTAAGCCACAGTTTTTGTAAATGTCAGCCATGATTTGTGCCTCTTTTAGTATATCTTTCTTTTTCCTAACAAAAATGCTGTATTGACACTTACTGCAGTTAAAATTTAGCAAAAAGGAAGCCTGGCACAAAATTTACCAAGTGCTTGGAAGCACTGTTCCTTCTACTGATAACAATGCACCACTTCAAATGCAACCTACTATGCTTTAACAGCACATCCAGCATCTCCTGCATACATGTACATGTAAGATAAGCATGATTACAAAAATTACACAAAACCCACTATCAAATTAGAGTCTGTCTCAACCATTTAATCCTGCAAGATTAAAAAACTAATCCCTTTAGCCACCCTCCCAGTGAAGGTCTGGGAAAAGTGAAGTGTAACTAATTAAACTTTCGAAAGTCACTCAATTATCTGATGCATTCTAAATACAACTCTTTACACAATATTACAGTTTTGAGTCATGATTTGCTGAGCAGTTCGCATAACGATGTGGGACAATTAACGTTTACATTAGTTAATGGCTGCCAAACTGCCGCTAACCCGCAAAGCACCAGCCCAGCCCGCTGAACCCTGTCCAGGGAAGGGCGATGGAGTCATGGAAGCTCACCAGCACAGCTGTTTCTCCAGCCCACTCTCTCTGCGGGATCAGCAGGCTGCCCAGACTCAGTTAAGTCAACAGAGACATATTTCACTGCCATCTGCTCCTCCCAGTGCCCTTTCCGTAGGGGGCAAACAGGAACTCAGTGACAGGAAAATGTTTAGCAGGCCTCTCTTCTGCAGTTTCCCTTGTACTTTGGCAGCTAAAAGGCACACAGGCTGAGCTGATGCATGCAATGTAATAGGGGGATCAGTTAAACTTCTTGCATCAGGGCAACTGTCAAAATGGCAAAGGTCCCCCTTTTAATATAAACTGTCACCTCTTATTCTTTAAGGAGTTAGTGGAACCCTAGAAAGCACAGTGTACTGAAATGGAAAGCTAAGGCTCAAAGGAAGCACTGCACCCAAAACCTTCTTGTCTCACAACCAGCCGAACCAATACAGGTTCTAGAAGGCTTTTCTTACCTTCCTATCCCTGGTATATATACACACATATGTATAAATACCCATATCTTCCCTACCCTGCTGTGAGAAGGTATGAGATTTCTAACCTAGGCTACAAATTCTGTGTGGTTGTGTGGCACAGTGATTGCAACAATCCTGTAAGATCCATTTTGCCTCACCCATACATTTGCTCATGTTAAAACAGCAATTCATAGCCTGCCAACCCCCCAGCAGGGACAGGGAATCCCTCACCCTAGGGCACCTCCCCACGCTGCTGATCAGCTGGCCAGCAGGGGGACTTACTGGTAGCAAAGACAGGCCTAGGCTGGTGTTGCCAATAAGACAGCAATGCCACTTCTGGTACGACACAGGAGGCTGTGGTATTTGGGCAAAACTCTATGGTCAAAATGACTTCTAGCATAGATTTTTGTCCAAATACCAGAGCGTCCCTGGCAACATGATGACATCACTTCCAGTGCAAGCCCAAAGTGACGTCACCAGCAACACTGGCAGACGCCTCTCTTTGCTGCCAGTAAGTCCCCACCCCTCGCCAGTTGTCAGGGGATACCTGCAACCCTAGCAACTCATCCTGAGGATTTTTCACAAAATTTAAGATGAGATCTGTTCTACTCCCAGAACAAACTATATTGAATGTACATATCTACATACTTTGCATGTGTTCAAAGATTTTGGATTTAAAACATTCAAAGACAAACAGATTTGCAACCATCAAAGTCTTCCACTCACATAAGGTAGGATCCAATCCAATTTCTTTTCGCCAGTAACCCCAAGAACTAGAAACATAGATCTTTCACAAAAATATATGGGCAAAAATCTACATCACGTACCAAATACTGTGCATGCAATGGCCATGCAAAAACGACTGAAAAGCAGACTATCATAATCCACTCATGGCAATGCTATTCTTTCTCTCAGCTCTGTTTTCTGCCATAGTCATTCACAGAATCACAGAGCTGGAAGGGTCCACAGAGGCCACCTAGTCCAACCCCCTGCTCATTCATATTATCCTGCATATACCAGTGATGTAGGGTAACTTTACAAATATTACAGTTTTCTTCCCCGGGTGATGAAATTATATGAAAACAAGAAATGTTTTAGAATCATCTTAGTCATATTACAGTCAGTGTTACTACATGAATACTGAATCAGACCATTTGTCTCTCACAAGCAGGGCTATTTTTGGGCAGGAACGCACAGGAATGGAGTTCCGGAAGGCTTCAGAGTTGGCCACGCCCACTACAGCCAAAACCTCTGCGCGTGCGTGGCTACAGAGGGAAGGCCTGAAGAGCGACACCCCCCCCCGGCGACTCCGAGGCGGGCAGGCCAGGGGGGACCTGGAAGGATTGGGGAGACATTTAAATGCCTCCCCGTGCCTTCCCTAGCCTGTCCAAGGGCCGGCTTGCCCGAGTTCCCCACAGCCACGGGACGGCCAGGCAAGCCAAGGGAAGGCATGGGGTGTGGCCTAATATGCTAATGAGTTTCTGCTGTTGGGTGTGGCCTGTTATGCTAATGAGTTCCTGCTGGGCTTTTTCTACAAAAAAAGCCCTGCTCACAAGCAGTATTTAGGTGGGTAGCCATGTTAGTCTGTAGTAGTAGAACGAAAATTGAGACCAGTAGCACCTTAAAGACCAACACATTTATACAAGATATGCGCTTCTGTGAGTCAAAGCTCACTTCATCAGATACCTTTATTAGTATTTGTCTACTCTGACTGGCACCGGCCCTCCAGGGTCTCAGGTACGGTCTCTCCTGTCAATTAACCACCTAATCCTTTTAACTGGAGATGCCTGAGATTGGACCTGGGACCTTTCTGCATGTAAAGCAGATGCCCTACCACGGAGGCAAAAGAGAAAAACATCAGATCTTTATACTTGCAGCTACCAAGAAACACAGCAAGTCAATGGCACTGATGACTGTGGACACCCCCCCCCAATTTCTTCTTCTTTTCCAAAGTCCATAATCTCGTCATTCAGCAAAAGATAATATTTACTTACTGGATTATGCATTTTAAAAATGAACACATTCTCACCTGTGACTGAAGCTGGAGGCATGGGAAGGTCTGCAGTGCCCAGGCCACTTGCTCCTCGTTTTCCGAAAGGGTGATTGTGCAAGTGCTGTATATCAGGGTGCCCCCTGGCTTCAGCAGCTGCACCGCCTATGGACAAAATACACCCTCAGGAGCCGACTTGAA